TAAAGCAGCAATAATACTCTACCATCAAATTCAGCAAAGATACCACAAGGAAGAAAATTATAGACCAATATATATTGTGAGTATAAGTGCAAAATGTAATAAGGAAAATACTAGCAAACTGAATCCAGTAGCATATTAAGGGGATTATACACCAGGCCCAGGTAGATTTACCCCAGGAACGTAAATGTAATTTTGCTTCTGAAATTCGACATCTGAAAATCCGTGAAAGACATCATTAATAGAATGAAGGAACAAAGCTTCCCAACCATCTCAATTTATGCAGAAAAAAACACTTGGTGAAATCTAATCTTTTTGATCAAAGAACTCATACAACTAACAATAAACTAAAAATCCCATAAAAAAATGGGCAGAATAGGTAAATAGCTATTTCTCCACTGAAAATATGCTGATGGCCAACAGGTATATGAAAAAATGCTGATCATAATTAATTATCATCAGGGAAATTCAAATCAAGATACAGTATTATACTATCTCACACTATGAGAATGCACCATTTTATAAACACCAGAAACAGCAAGTGTTGGTAAGGATGTGGAGGAAAAGGACCCTCAGGCACCCAAAATCTCTCTTCCTAAAATTGAAAACAAGAAAAGGATACCTGCTTTTATTATGGCTAGTCAACATTGTAGTAAAATTCTATCCAGAGCCATTAGTTAAGGGAGAAACAAACAAAAAAACATTCTAAGTGGAAACTAAGTAAAATTATTTCTGTTCACATATCATCCTATATATAGAAAATACTATCTATCAGGAAAATCCTAAAGAGCGCACAAAACGTTATTAGAGCTAATGAGTGAATTCAGCAGTTGCATGGTGTTAGAGCAATAGGCAAAAATTACTTGTGTTCTATACACTAGCAGAGAGCAATCTAAAAATGAAATTGAGTAAACAATTTCCAGTGCATCAAAAAGAATAAAATACTTAGTAATAAATCTAAAGAGGTGTTAAGACTTACAAACTAAAAACTATGAAATATTACTGAGATAAGAAAGAAGACCTATGTAAATAGAAAGGCATCTTTGTATCATTGTTCATATTTTGGAAGACCTAATAATGGTAATTCTTCCCCAAATGATTTACCGAATCAATACAATCCTTCTCAAATCCCAGTGGCCTTTTTTTTTTTTTTTTTTTTACAGAAATTCATATGGGATTGTAAGTGACCTGGAATGGTTAAAACAATCTTGAAAATGGAGAACAAAGATGGAGGACCCAAAAGTTATGAATTCAATCTTTATTATAGCTGCAGTATCAAACAATGTGGTATCACGAGAATGAGAAGACAAATCACAAACTGGGAGAAACTATTGGCAAATATATGAGCTGTTAAAGTACTGTTATCTGTAATATACAAAGAATTCTTAAATTCCACAGTAGAAAAATGAACTACCTGCTTGTAAATGGACAAAAGATCTCAACAGACATCTTAACAAAACAGATATACACATAGCAATTAAGCAGATGCAAAGATGCTCCACGTGTTACGTCATTAGAGAATTATAGATTTAAACAATGAGACAGAATTATAGATGTCTCAGATTTTTCCAAAATCCATAACCCTAACAAAACAAGTTGTGGCGAGAATATGGAACAAAGAGAGCTCTAATTCATTGCTGGTAGGGGTGTATAATGTTATAGTTTGGTGATTTTTAAACAAAATTAAAAAATACTCTTACCATATGATAACAGCAATACACTCCTTAGTATTTACTCAAGTCGAAATCTAAAGTTCACACAAAAATCTGCACATAAATATAGTAGATCTAATTCTTAATTGCCAAAACATGGAAACAACCATGATATCCTTAATAGAGGAATGAAAAACAGTGGTATATCTAAACAATGGAATATTATTCAACACTAAAAAGAAATGGGCTATCAAGACACAAAGAAACCTATTATGACATTTCTCTAAATAAGAGATCCTAACCTAAAAAAGCTATCTATGCTATGATTCCAACAATGTGACTGCTGGAAAAGGCAAAACCATGAAACAGTAAAAATCCAATAACTGACATTGTTGAGGTCGGGGGGAGTAGTTTGTCAAAACACAGATTTTCAGAGTAAAGAAATGATTTTGTGTGATACCATCGTGGTAGATACATATCATTATACTTTAGTCAAACCCATAAACTGAAAATCTTAAAACTTTAGCAAAGAAAGAAGTAAGACTTAAATAAGCAGAAAGGCATAGAATATACAACACTAAAAATGAGCCCTAATGTAAACTATTAGCTGAATGATAACGGATTGTCAATTTAAGCTCATCAGTTGTAACAAATGTAGTACTTCTGTGGTGTGAGAAGGCTGTTCATGTATGTGGGAGGGAGTGCATGGAACCATTGTGTGCTTTCTGTTCAGTTTTGCTTTGAACCTAAAGCTGTTTTAAATAACTTATGCTGTATACATTTTTTTTTTAAGATTTATTTATTTGTTCATACAGAACTGGGGTACAGGCCAGAGGCTCAGGGGCGGCGAGAGACTTCACCAGAGACAGAGTAGGGATCAGAACAGGCAGCTCTACAAAGTACACTGCTAAGGGGAGCAGCAGGCGGGTCAGGAGAGGTCTGCCACACCATGTGGTAACCTCCAGGGCAGGCGGGAATCGAACTCAGGCGGAAGTGGCTTTAGCTTCTCAGTGCTGTGCTTTAACCTGCTGCGCCACCAGGGAGGGCCTGTATACATATTTTTAAATTGTGGTACTGGCATAAGGATAAACATGCAGATAATGGAATAGAATTGAGAGCCACAGAAATAAACCCAAATATAATATAGTCAATTGAATTTTGACACAGATGCCATAGTCTCTTCAATAAATGGTGCTATTGACAACTGGGTACCCACATGCAAAAGAATGAAGTAGGATCCTTGGGAAGATGGTAATTGAGTGTAGGTGCAAAATATAATCAGAAAAATACAAAATATATCAAAAATACAACAACTATCTGAAAATGGATCAAAATCCCCCTGAAAGGCAAGAACAAAAATCATAGTAACACTTAGAAGAGTCAACAGGGGTAAATCTTTATGCTGTTTGACTTGGTGATGGTTTCTTAGTATTGTTCTAAAAGCACAAGGAAAAATAGATTTCATAAAAATTAAAAATTTTTGTGCATGAAATGACATCATCAAGGAAATGAAAAGGAAACTCATAGAAGGAGAGAAAAATATTTGCAAATCATTGATCTAATAAGGGACTTGTATCCAGAATATACAGTTGTTACAGCTCAACAAAAGAAAGATGAACAACCCAGTTTAAAAATGAACAGAAATTCTGAATAGGCATTTCTTCATAGAAGATAACATAGGAACATAGCTCATGGAGAAATGCTCAGTATACCAGTCATCAGGGCATATCTAGTGTATACCTAGATTTTATGGTTTTATAGAATTTCTCTATCAAGCTTTCCGTACTATCTTGCCTAGAGTGAGTCCTGAAAAAGATAGTGGCTGAATTTTTTTTTTCTTTATTTTTTTTTAAGGTCTATTTATTTAGTTATGCATACAAAACTGGGGTACAGGCCAGAGGAGCAGGGGCAGTGAGAGGATTCACCCGAGTCAGAGTGGGGAGCAGAACAGGCAGATTGATGGAGTGCACTGCTGAGGGAAGCAGTGGGTGGGTCAGGAGAGGTCTGCCCTGCCATGCGGATCACCTCCAGGGCCGGGATGGAACTTGCTGGGAAGCGCTGTGACTGTGGCTGTGGCTGTGCCATGGCCATCTTTGCAGTGCTGCACTCCAACCGGTTGTGCCACCAGGGAGGGCCCAGTGGCTGAAATATTTTTAGCTGAAGTGAAGTCTTTGTGCAGATAGATTTGAGCAACCCTTTGGAGAATCTGCGGGATCAAAGAGAGAGGTGAAGATGGGAGAGTCAGAAGTATACTACTTTCAAGTAATCAGTGTTAAATATGGATGCCTGAATGAATGTGGCAATAGGAATGGAAACCGGAAAATTTTAGAAACTTTGCCTTGTGTTTGTGATATGGTAAAGGTCGCTAGCACTTGGGGATTTAGGGTAGGACATCAAACCACTGAAGAGACCCCATATTTTCAGAGGTGGGAATGATAGTCTCTTTGTCAATTGCAGCTGTTTTTGAAGGTTAAAAAATGCAGCTGACCTCTCTTCTTTTTAATTGTGAAGCATTAACCACCCTACTAATCAGCATGGTATTTATATTTTTCTGTCACTAGATGGAGTTTGTGAGTCCAGGGAACTGTGGGTTGAACTTTGCCTCTTCCTGAGATTTCTGTTCTTTGCCTTTGAAAGGGAAAATAGCACTTAAATCTACAAATGGATTTAAATAAAAATCTTTTTTATTTGCCTTTAAAATTCATTATGTAAAACAAGGAAATAATCTTTTTAATTCTTTGCATTCCTGCCTTCCTAAATTTCTTTTGGGAAAGATATTTTAAACCACAGTTTAATGTCAATTCTAAATTTTTCTGATAGGGGAAGCTTTAAAAACTACTATTATTGAATGTCAATTAAAAATTACACTTTTATCATCTAGTGTCCCCACTCTTGATTTTAACCCAGTAATTCACCCTCTCTCATGCGTTCTCTTTCAAACACCAGTAAGAGCAATTATTACATTGTTTACAATTATTACATTGTCCATTTTTAGCATCACATCACATGCCTGCATTTCCAACCCTGTACATGCTATGAGGCATAGTGAAAAAAAGGGTCCAAATAAGTTATTTTTCTTTTATCAAGGCTGGCAAAAGGTAAGAACCCAAAGGCTGACAATAGACAGTAGTGCTGGTGAGTGTTTCATTGGCAGGTTTACTTTGCCATTTATTCTGAGTGGGGCCTGAGCAATAGTAAAGAGCAGATGAGTACATGAGTGGTTGTAGAAAGGATCTTGGGAACTTTCCAAGCCCCAAAGAGGATGCAGTTAAATGTGCTCAGTTAGTCTGTATGCAAGGCAATATGTGGGCAAGCTGTGATCTAATTCCTTTTTTTGTCTTTCTGCTGCAGCACGTGCCCTTATAGTCGGCCTCCTTTTGGCTATGGAAATTTTCCAAGTTCAATGCCAGAATGCCTTGGTTATTATGAAGACAGGTACCAAAAACATGAGGCTATGTTTTCAGCTTTAAATAGAGACTATCCTTTTAGAGACTATCCAGATGAACGAACACATAGTGAAGATTCTCGAAGTTGTGAGAGCATGGATGGGACCTCTTACTATAATAGTCATAGCCACAGTGGGGAAGAATACTTAACCCCCATGCCTCAGCTGGACATTGGAGCCTTGGAGAATGTCTTCACAGCCCCGACATCAACTCCCTCTAGCATCCAGCAAGTCAATGTCACTGATAGTGATGAAGAGGAAGAAGAAAAAGTGCTCAGGAATTTATAATTTTAAAACAAATAGCACAGAAAATAAACATTTCTTAAAAAGTATGCTGGGTCAGTTGGTCTAAGAAAAAAGCCTTGAATGCTCTGCTGAGAGTTTTCAGCCATGATTTGAGGAGTCAAAACCAAACTAATTTATGTCTTCATAAAGTTTTGATTAGTGAGACTGGAGTCCTGATGTTTCATCGTGAGGATATTTAATACAAATTAATTTATTTTTTTATGGCTGAAATTGGCATCAATATATATCACCATAATTGGAGCATGAAAAATACTGAATCGTCACAAGTACATGTGAGGGGGAAAGGGTTATAGATCAGACACAGCAAGTGAGATTTGTATTTTTTCTTAGGATACCTTTGTTTTTTTTTCTTATATCATTGTTTTGTTTGGTGTTTATATAATATTTATGGATGTTGTCAGTTTTATGTGAGATTTTTAAAATGTTTTGATAACTTAGTAGTGATATGGGAATGTGTTATTAATTTACACTAATAACTAATTATAAGTTGCAAATGTGTTTTAATGACACCTGGTAATTCCTTTAGCCAAATTAGTCATTTCTGTTCCTAAACATTTTGATCGTTTTGGATATCTTTTTCCATTTGGTATGCATTGTTCTACTTTTGTTATAATTAAATAAACATAGAAAAAAATTGTTCTTGTTGAATGTTTTCTCTTTCGGGAATAGAAATAAGCCAGATGAGTATCATTCTAATGAGGATGGCTTCCATACCACGTGCATGTTATTTATTTTCACCAAATAGTCTCCAGAATTTCAAGCTCCTGTAGCTTACACGAGACTAAGACTATCAACAAGATGTCATGCATGTGTTCTTTCACCATGTTCTTATTCTTACATGTGTATACACGTGACTTCCACACTTCCCCCAAATGGAAGAACTCAAGAGCTGGCTCAAGCAGTGGTTTCTAAAACCCCAAAGTTCACCTGGAACTTGTTTCATTCACAATGAACAAAAAAATCCTACTTGTGATGTAACATTTTGGTAAGTACACACTTATGACTGGAGAGATCCTTTTTGAAACAGAATTAAACCTTAATTGAGATCATGGTGAACCAGATCTGTAAGGCACAAAGTGAATTGATGATGGGAAATAACCACAAGCAAATATACTTTTCCTTCAATGAGCTGTATAATTTATGCAAATTGAGATCTTGCTACTTAAAACTATTTGGAAATTGTATATGGAAACTTGTTCTAAGCTCCTAGCTTCATCCTTTATTAAACCTGTATTTATCTCTTAAACAAAGGTTGTTAATGTAACACTTCATCTATCGTATCCTTAATTGTATGTAACTTAATTCCTTTCCCAATAAAAATTTTATTTTCATATTTCATATTCTTTATTACTATGTGCTATGTGATTTCAATGTGGTTAAAGGGTAATTTGAATTTCTTAGCTGATGCAAAGCAAGAAACAAGAGCACCTTGATTGTCTTTCCACTTGAGTCTACACCAAGAAGGAGAAATGTATGGAACAACCTGATCCATTTTCCCTCGCCTCATTTTAGTGACCCCTCTAGTCACTAAACTAGGATTTGATGACAGTCCCTATTTTTATAGGCACACTGGTTGGGGGCATCTCAGTATAATACTGAGCATAGTTGAGTGACTTAACCACCTGTCTGCAGACTAGCCCTCCACCACCCATTCCTTCCCCAATCATTGCAATGACTATCGAGGCTGGGCAACTCTTTTAATCTTTCTCCTCCTTTCCTCAGTGCTGGAATCATAAGTCAGGGATGTAGGTTATTTATTGATAAGCATAGTTGTAATTTGGGCTAGGAGAACTCAGTAGCTCTTACATAGAAAAGTACCCCATGGAAGATAAGCATGCCTGACTACGAAAGTCAGTATTGGTATCTTCCTATTTCTAACTCTTCAAACCACTGTTGGCTCTTGATGAGATCTACAGACTAAACAAAGCCCCAGCCCGTGGGCACTAATTCATTTGCCTTTCTAAGTCATCAAAGTGAAATTCTCTAACCTCTCAGCCACAAGCACTTTGCAGTAGGTCTCATTGCCTTGTTTGTTCTGATTATAATTTGGGAGTAAAGTAATGATATTTGCAATAAGAACAGCTTCCTTTCAAATAGTGTTGAAATGTCAATATATTTAGAACACCATTCAAACTGTTCTGTGTTTTGTACTAAGCTGCTCTGGCTATTTGCAAGTAAAAACTGTTTCACTGGAAAAAGACTAAAAATAGACTTGCAAGAAGCAAGTCTAGAAAGGCAAGAGTAGTGTTTCTCTGAGGATGTGAGTTAGAACCCAAGTATGTTAGATATTCTGACAATATTTGGTCTGATAAGTTTGGGTGACATTGGGAGTACTCCTTGCCATTCCCCCTAACTCCCCCCCCCCATTGTCTTTGTGAATATTTCCAAAAGTTTTGCAGTGCAGAAACAAAGTAAATTGTTGATTTCAGTGGTCCCCAAATTCAGTTTAGATAGACCACTAGTATCTACTAATACCTCAAAGAAGCCATCTTGGAAAATGCTAATACAACTATAGCTGGTGTTTTCTGTTTTCAGTTGTGGACATTATATACAGTTGCCTACACCAATCACCTTAAATATTTTACTGAAAGAAGTTAGTGGCTAAACTCTTTTCTGCATTAAGCATCTGATAGTCTTAAAGGAGTGAAGAACTGAAACCTCCAGTTCTCATAAACTGCTACTCTCTAGAACTCTGGCTTATTGGTGAAAGTTGATACTGCACTGAAGAATTCAAGTAGACAAATGTGCAAAATTCCCATATGAGTATATTTCTCAAGTGTTAATCAGCTGTCATAAGTACTATTCCTGAACCAAAAGTAGCAGCTTCTTTTGAATGTTGTAATTTGACTGATTTTGAAATTAAAGTTTAGGGATTATGTTAACAACTTGCAATATTTAAAAGCATAATTTTGATGTGAGCAGGGTACTTCTGAAAATCTTTCCTGCTTTTTAGAACAAAGTCTGCTGAGTCTGCTGAGGTGAACTTTTTTTTTTTCTTTTTTTTTTCTTTTTTTTTTTTTTAGCATTCTGAATCGTCTTAACTTAGGGTTTGTGAATCTTCTTAACTTCACAACAAAACTACTTTTAAAAAAATGTGTGAGAGAGTTACTTTCTATCTAACTCAACTTAATGAAAATGTGCTTATCCTTGAGCCAGATTTATCCTTTCTGCTATATTCTTCATTCTAACTATCCTATAGACCTTGCATACCTGCTTTCTGATGAATTCAACACATACAAATACTAGTACACTTTCTACCAAGAGATGAAGTCTTGTAGGGATAGAGATAGAGTAAGGTGTGGGGGATGTTGTTTGCACACACCTTACTTCTCTGAAGCCATCACAGGGAGATGTTTCATTTTTTAAAAGAAGAAATAACACATGTATCCTTTTCCTTTAAAAACATCAGGAAGATATTCAGTATATGGAAACCAAATATTAAGTAGCATATATAATAACACATACATCATTGCTTAATATACATGTATAAGTAAGTGCAGATATTAAATAACCTTTAATAGTTATTCTAAGTGATGGCATTGTCTGTGATTCATTGTGTCTAGGCTTGACTTTATCTTCTTATATCTATACTTGAAATGATATTTCAGTAAAAGGGATGATTGTTCAGGACAATAATGAAAATGTTTGCCTTTTGTTTTTGTTATGTGTTGTTCATGTAAATCTGAATCTAATTGGTAGATTCAAAGATGCTGGTCACCTTTATTTCTGGCCCATCTCTATTCTCCAGTAGTCATTTGCACATATCTTTATGAGGATCTTTTTTTTTATTATTATTTTTTTAACGATTTATTTATTTATGCATACAGAACTGGGGTACAGGCCAGAGGTGCAGGGTGGTTAGAGGATTCACCAGAGACAGAGTGGGGAGCAGAAGAGGCCCACTGATGAACACTGCTGAGGGGAGCAGCGGGCAGGTCAGGAGAGGTCTGCTGCACCATGTGGGTCACCTCCAGGCGGGGATCAAACTCATTCTGAAGTGGCTTTAGCTTCTTAGTGTTGTGCTTTAACCCACTGTGCTACCAGGGAGGGCCCTCTTCATGAAGATCCTTTGCAACATCTTAGGCAGTGCTTTATGCAAACCTCTGAGAGAGACACTAAATTCAGGGTGGGTGCTGTTAAAGAAAAACAGAGAGGCATTTGAAAAGCTCTCTGAGGTATATGCTTGTGCTCCTTGTGACACTGTCTATGGAAGCTATGAAATAACCCTTCTGAAAAAGTGCCTCTTCTTTTCGGCTGTACATTATTGTATACTTCCCAGGCAGAAGTGTGGAGAGATAGACCAACTGTCCCAGTCTACCTAGTACTGAGGGACAGAGGGTTCCAGGAACTGATGTTTTCAGTGCCTAAACTGGAAACTTCAGAGCAATCTGAAACAAATCCATCCATGTGATGAATAAAATGAATATAGAATGTTCCAGAGGTGGCTAACTTATGCAGACTGTGCTGTCCAAATGTAGAGCTTGAAACCACCATGCTCAAAAGGGCAGATGATAGTTGGGCTTGTGCCATGGAGTTAGAAAAGCATGGACAAGACAGGCACCACACAGGACAGCAAGGGAACCAGAGCAATGTGGTGGTCAATACCTGGATGTTTTGTTTTTTTAATTTCATAATAGTTTATTTTTACACATTCTTGTGCATTTTTCCATCTCAGTTGCAATCCCCTTGGGTTTCCCATCACCAAATCACCCATGTGCCATCACCATAGACCAGTGCACTTCCCTCCCCCCCCCCACGGTTTTTGATCCCATTCCCCACTCTATCCACACAAAACGTCTCTGTTATATAGCTGTTCATCATTACCATTATTTTCTCGCCTGTTTCGTTATATTCTTGCTATGAGAGAAACCATCCAGTATTTTTCCTTTTCTTTCTGGCTTATTTCACTAAGCATTATTTTTTCCAGCTCCATCCATGTTGCTGCAAAAGACATGTGTTTCTTTTTTTTTTTGGTTGCTGAGCAATATTCCATTAGTATATGTACCACATCTTTTTAATCCAGTCACCCACTTTTGGGCATTTGGGTTGTTTCCATGTCTTTATAATTATAAATAAAGCAGCAATAAAATGGGGGTGCAGGTATCTTTTTGAATCAGTGTTTTTGTGTCTTTCAGGTAGATACCTAGGAGTGGGATTGCTGGGTCACATGGAAGCTCCATTTTAGCAGTTTGAGGAACCTCCAAACAGTTTTCCATAGTGGTTGTACTAGTTTGCATTCCCACCAGCAGTGCAGGAGAGTTCCTTTTTCTCCACATCCTCGCCAACATTTGTTGTTGCTAGTTGTTTTAATGTGTGCCTTTCTCATTGGTGTGAGGTGGTATCTCATTGTGGTTTTAATTTGCATCTCCCTGATTACAAGTGATGTTGAACATTTTTTCATATGCTTGTTTGCCATCTGCATTTCCACTTTGGAGAAGAGTCTTTTTAGCTCTTGTGCCCATTTTTTGATGGGGTTGTTTATTTTTGTTGAGTTTCATCAGTTCTCCATATATTTGTGTGATCAATCCTTTATCACTCGTTTTGTGTGAGAAAATTTTCTCCCAATCAATGGGATGTCTGTTTTTTGTAATGTCTCTTTTGCTGGACAGAAGCTCTTTAACTTGATGTAGTCCCATCTA